GAAAGTAAAAGATCTACATATTGAATGTCACAATACTCTGAAAAGGGAGATCAAAGAGGACATCAGAAAATGGAAAGATGTCATTTGCTCATGGATAGGAAAAAGCAATAGAGTGAAATTGGGCATATTCCAAAGTTATACAGATTGGATGTGATGCTGGTCAAAATGCCGTTAGCATATCTCACAGAACTACAGAAAACATGCCTAAAATTCACTTTGAAGCAGAAGAGGCTGAGAATAGCAAAAGCAATTTGGGGTAACAAAGGCAAGATAGGGAGCATCACAATCTCTGACTTGAAAAATACTACAAAGGTACTCTGATAAAATTATCATGGTACTGGCAAAACAAATAAACAAAAACATGACCTGAGGATGAGTGGAACAGATTAGACACTGCAACACAACTGTAAACCAACACAGCCACCTTGTCTATGACAAAGGGGTCAAACATGTTCATTGGAAGAAAAAGAGCCTCTTGCTGGGGATATGGCTCAGCAGCACAGAGGCTGACTGGTAAGCATGAAGTCCTGAGTCCAATTCCTGGTATGAAAGTGAAAGAAAGAGAGGAAAAAAAGGAGAGAGGGAAGGAGGAAGAGAGGGAGAGAGGGAGAGAAAGAGAAAGAGTCTCTTTCATAAATTGTGCTGGAAAAACTGGCTCTCTACCTGACAAAGTGTGAAACTAGACCCATGTCTATCACCATGCATCAAACCAAAGGGAAATGACCTTTTATTCCATTTTGTTTTGTTTTTTCTTGGCTTAACTGTGCTGTTCAGCCTTTCCTTGAACTCACTTTGTAGGCCAGGCTGGTCTTGAACTCACAGCAATCCAGCTATCGTCTTCCATGTGCTGAGATATTACAGGTGTGCATCACCACACCTGATGCTCTAGAATCAAAATGGATCAAAGATCTAAATATTAAAACAGAAACTAAATCTACTTGAAGAGAAAGTAGGTGGAAATTTGTTTTTCAAAAATGTATTTGGTAGAGTGTCTCACCACACAGCTCAGACTCACAATGATCCTCCTGTTTTCAGCCTCCCCAGGCCTGGGATTATAGGCATGTGCCACTATACCCAGACTTGGGGGCTGGTTCAGTGCTCGGCCTGTGGTGTCAAGGATCAATCCCAAGTCCCTGTGCTTGCCTAAGCTTTAGTCTACTGATCTATCATGTCAACACTAGGTAGAAAGTTTGAGGGCATAGATATAGGCAGAGATTATTATAAACAAAACCACCTGCATGGGAAATACTTCAAAGAATCAACAACTGGGATCTTCTCTTATTAAAAAGCTTCTGTATATGGGGCCTGGGAGATGGCTCAGTAGAATAAGCACTTGCCTGGCAAGCGCAAGGGCCTGCAATCCCTAGTTTCACCAAAAAAAAAAAAAAAAAAGCTTATGCACATCAAACCAAATCACCAACAGAATGAAAAGAAAACTCACAAAGTAGGAATAAATTTTACCAAATTTTCCTTCAGATGAAGGACTTCTATCTAGATGGGTTTTATACATAGAAATTTATTTATATGTATAGTTCTTTGTATGTATAAAAAATTTTTAAAAATCAGATCCTCCTCAAATTCAAAGACCTGATTAAAAAACATGCATCTAAGATGAATATGCAAGAAAATGAATATGCACTTCTCAGATGAACAAACCCAAATAGCAAATAAAATATGAAAAAGTTAAGTATCATTGCTCATTCAAGAGATGCAAACAAATACAACACTGGGGTAAGATTCTATCTCACCCCAGAAAGAATAGCTATTGTCAAGAAGTCAAGCAATAACAAATGTAGGATGGGCTGTGGGGAAAAGGGAACCCTTCTGCACTGTTGGTGGGAGGGTAGATTGTTACAACCACTATGGAAATCAGGGTGGAGTAGCCTCAAAAAGCTGAGATTGGAGGCCCCAGCTGAGGCAGTTATTCCCGTCTGGCTATCTTCCCAGAGGAGTCAAAAACATCACACCACAGTGTCACGTGTGTATGTGTGTTTGTAGCAACTGACTTTGTAATAGCTGAATCTTGGAAACAACCCACGTGTCCATCCACTGAGAAATGGTCACAAATACATAGTCTTTTTGTGCAATGGAGTACTTAACCGTAAAGAAGGACAAACTTGAGACTTCGGTAGATAAATGGATGCAACTTGAGACCAAGCTCATTAGGGAAATAATTCAGACTCACAAGTGTAAGCATCACGTCGTCTGATGTAAGAAACTGAAAGAGTAAATAAGGTTTAAAAGGTACAATAGATATTATGAAATGGCAGAATGTTCAAAAGGGAAAGGGCACCAGGATGGGAGGAAGAGGAAAGAAATGAATGGAAAAGGAAAAGATGGAAGATGGTTACCTTACCAGAGTCTCTTAGTTCACTGAAAAGGAAGGTTTGGGCTAATATCAATTGGAGAGTTTTTATAGCCATATCTTGTACTCTGAATAATCACTTTAAATGTAATGAATTGACTATTGTTATTTTATGTTGTTGTGAAATGTTGTTTCACTTCTTCTCCATGACAAACATGCCCTTCCTCTTCAAATCCTCATTACACTGGCAATATAGACCCTTCAGGTCCGGAATATAGACACAGGGATGGACTGAGGCCGTGGGAAGTCATGTGACTTTTGGGTAAGTGTTCAGGGACACCTTAGCTCTCCATGTGCCTTGACTAAATTCCAACTAAGGCCTGCCTGTGTCCTCCCTGCATGGCCTCTGCCCCTACCCTGCTGGATCTCCTGGGGTCACCCAGCCCCTGGCCCCGTGGCTGAAGGCATAAGGGAGCAGGCAGCATAAAGACCCTTCTGAGGCCAGAGAGCTCAGATACCCAGCAATGCATAGGCAGGGTACAGGAGGGAGCTGGCAGGCTTGGCCAGGAAAGGGGTGGAAATCGGGCTGCACCTCCACCTCCTGATTGGAAAGCCCAGTTCACATTCAGGGAATTTGTTTCCTGAAGTTGGCATTACCTGGCTGCCATGAACACCTGCCACAGTGCCAGCCAAATGATTCCTGATCCTTCTGGATGCCTGCAGGTCCCTGGCCTCGGAGCACCTGTAGAAGGTCCAGTCTTGAAGAGGCTGCAACAGCTCTGCCAAGGCTGAGCGAGAGAGCGAGACAGCGAGAGTGAGAGAGCGAGAGTGAGAGCGAGAGCGAGAGTGAGTGCCTTAGAGACAGCAGCTCACAGCAATTGTCCCCAGTATCTGGGTTTTCTGGGCCCTGGTGCTCAACAGCTGAGCTGAGCCTTCCCTGCCACAAGGAGGTGCACCTTGGCCTTGGACCTGCATTGCCAGTCCTGTTGTCATCTCCTGCAGTGAGCTGTTCCCTAGGTCCCTGGGGCCTGTCCCTGAGGCTTTGCCCTGAGGGATGGGCAGCTGCCTTTGATACTGTGAGGGCGGGGTCACAGAGGCTTAGGGAAGAGCATTGCGCCCTCTAGTGGAAAGCTCCTTCCAGAGGCACAAGGCGGGGGAGCTAAACTGACCTCACAGGAAGTGCGAGGCAGAGGAAGCAAATGAAGATGGGGGTGAGAGGAGGGTGGCAAGGACCAGGGTAATGGGAGACTCCAGGATAGGCAGCAGAGCAAGACTCTCTTTCCGCCGACTTTTGGGACTGGTCATCCTTGTGGGGACACCTCTGCCTTGTGCAGATTCTCCTGCAACATCCAGGAATTCTTCACAATAAGTACCAGTAGCTGTCCCTCTGCAGGTGTGACAACCTAAAATATGAAGATACTGGGAATGCCTCTGGAGGGCAAAGCCCAATCTGGCTGAGATGGGGAAGGTGATCATATGACTCCAGAAGTTCCAGACCAGGCACAACCTCACTATTTTACAAATCACTGTCTATCTATAGAGTTTAACAAAAGTGGGACGCGGAGGAATCTACGAATCTTATACAGAAAAACGGAATGGGACATTCACCCTTCCCTATTTGAAAACTTACTACAATGTATACCTAGAGCAGCACTTGAGAATGGCTGCAAGTCCCCACCTGACCTCTAGGGGGCAACATCAGAATACACAGTCCACACTAAAAAACTAGTTCCTGCCAAGTGAATTTAGTTTCGGCTTTGGGCACATGTCGCCCAATTTGCATCCCTGGGCACAGTAGAGCCTTCTAGGTCCCTCCCGCATGCCCTCTTCTCCCACCCACTTCGTCCTGGCACTCTGATGACCCAGCCAAGCCAGGGTTCTGTTTGGTCCCTTCCTTCCTGGCATCACCTTTGAATTAACAGAAAGAGGAACATAGGACTCAGCAGGGCAGACGACCAAGGCCAAGCAATTCAATGGGGGAGATGGTCACACCTCAACACAGACATGTAAAGACAGGGCCTGTCCCTGAAATCTGCCCCCAAGAACAACACTGCCTAAAGTCACTCACCTCCCCCAACGCACTCCTTCCTCCCCAGGACGTGGGGGTCATATCCATCCTGCCCACCCAGGGCTTCCTCTCCTCCTGGGACTCTGACCAGAGACCACACTGATGACCCCAGAGATACAGGGCAAGTCCCCTCACCAGTTATCACTCAGTCAGAAGTTCTCCATTCCCTACAGCCATCTCTGTCACCTTTCCCCTGGTAGTGAATTCTACCTTCACAGAGCACACAAGAACTTGAGATACACTGGGTGTCCAGCTGCCTTTTTGTGGCAAAAAACCCTGAATCCCTGGATTTGGGAACCCTGGGATCTCCATGGGGTGTGGATAGTCGTGAGGCCAGGACAGTGAGCCTGTCCTTCTCTTAAGTGACAGAGGCCCCAATATCCTAGTCCTCAAAGTGTGGTCTGAGGTAGCAAAACAATACAGAGCAGAAGACCCAGGGAAGGCAGGGCCCAGGGTAGGAGAGAGGAGGCTCCCTAGACAGACTCCACCCAGGTCAGGTGATGGAGGTGTGCCCAGGGCTGGGAGGAGGCTCAGCTCAGAAGAGAAAGGACAGCAGAGCTGAGCTGCTGAGCAGCCCTACAGGGCAGCCTTTCAGGAGCAGCAGCTCTTCACCGAGGGATGACGGAGCAGGCAGCAGAGACCATGGAGCCCCGCTCAGCTACTTCCCACAGAGGCCTTGTTCCCTGGCAGGGCCTCCTGCTTGCAGGTAAGAGGGGACAGTCCCTGGGTTGACAGGGGAGGATGAACATATAGCGACTGATGAGGCGCATTTGGAAGACAACACTCTGAGTGGACAGAGGTTTCTGTGTGGAGCCTGAGGGGAGGGGATTACAGAGGCACAGAATCACTCAGGGTATGGGAACTAAAACAGGAGGATGAAAAGCTCCACTTTTCTCTCATGTGATTTAGTCCCTATTAGGTAATGTTTTTGTTTTTTCAGACAGGGTCTCCCTATGTTGTTCAGGTTGGCTTTGAATTCCTGCCTCAGCTACCAGGTGCTGGGATTAGAAGGCTGGGTCACCACACCTGACAGGCCACAGCATTGTGAAACTGATGTTCACACCAAGTTCAGGGTGACCCTCCAACGAAAAACACACCAGGCTTATTAGGTATCAGGAGCCCTCACTCGTTCATCCACAGGTGTCTGAGGCTGTGTCAGAGCCTGGGCTCACAGAGCTCTCCGCCTAGTGGAAGGCAAACACACCAGGAAGGCCAGCTAGAGGGGAAGTCAGGCATTGACAAGGGCTACAGAGGGAAGAAGGCAGGAAAAGGAGAGGAATTGAAGACCCAGGTCTGCTGTGAGGGGTCAGAGAAGGTGGCTGCCCGGGCTGCCCTGAATGAGAGCAGGACCAGAGGGCAGTGAGCAGAGACCGCGCGGACAGCTAGGGAAGAGGGCTCCAAACAGGGAAGGACAGGTTCAGGGGCACAGAAGGGTGCTGCTGCTGGCCTCAGCACAGTCACACACACACAGACACACACAGACACACACAGACACACACACACACACACACACACACACAGACCATTAACATTAAGCAATGAAAACATCTTCTCAGGACTCAGAGTCCCATATGGCCATCCAATACATTTTTCTCTTTCTTTTTTCCAGTATTAATGAATTTCTTTCTCTCTCTCCCAGCCTCACTTTTAACCTTCTGGAACCCACCCACGAATGCTCAGCTCACCATTGAATTGGTGCCTTTCCATGCTGCTGAAGGGGGAGATGTTCTTCTACTTGTCCACAATTTGCCAGAGAACAGGATAGCTTATAACTGGTTTAAAGGTGATAGGGTTGATTCCAGCAAAGAGATTGCAACAGTTGAGATAGATACTAACAGAACTACTCCAGGGCGTGCATACAGCCATCGAGAGACAATATACCGCAACGGATCCCTGCTGTTCAAGAGTGTCAAACAGCAAGACTCGGGACTCTACACCCTGTACGTCATAAAGAGCAATTATCAGGTTGAACAAGCTTCTGGGCAGTTCCAGGTGCACTGTGAGTTATTCTCCATGACCTCGGGGTGTAGACTGGGGTGAATTCAACTTCATGCACACACAAACCTGTCCATCTTAGATGGTGTCCCCACCCAGTCACATCATGTCCCCAGTTGCACATTGAGCATAGAGTGCAGGATACACAGTGGAGTAAACTTCAGCAGATTGAAGTCCTCTACCTGAACCTGCCCAGCATAGGGAAGGAGAGGTGGATGGAGTAATGTGATCCAGGGAGATCTTCTCCATCAGTCCCTTGAGTCCCTTGCTGTTAACACAGCCCCAAGAGTGACTCTGAGGATCCTAGTCAGGGGATAGCCTGAGGGACTCTTGGGTCCCCCCCAAGAAGCTCAGCCCCAGGAGCCCCTGCCTCAGACCTCTGTCCCCAGCTCCAGCTCCTCACTCCAAGAGGTCATGGGGAGCTTGTTCTCAGGGTTAGAGTTGGGCCCACTACTTAAGGTCGATGGAGAGCAATAATCTAGTGGCTGGCTGAGCCTCAGTGTCCCTAATGCTGGTCACCAGCCAGAGCACAGCCCCAAGGGCCATATCGGGGTTAGAGCACCTGGAAATTCTTTCTCCTGAGACTTGGCATATACACACAGGTGACAGGCTCCTCAGGGCATTAGCCCCCTTGATGGACTTAGGAGACCCCACAGGAAGCTCAGTGTGCCCAGGGAAAGCGCAGAGGAGAACAAGACTCCTGGAAGTGTCCTGTCCATCCAGAACTGTTCCAGGTCATTCTGTGTTGGGGGCAAATATGAGATTGCTGATTAGGCATGGAGTATGCCAATGGCAGGAAACTGCAAGTATGTCTGGTTGATTTACCAATAACTTAGCAAACGAGATTCCATTTCCCATGGATCCCATAACAGGGAGACTCAGGCACAAAGAAAGACGATTGCTGGACCAGGGTCACACAGCCCACGGTGTGCCTCATAGGAATTGCATAGCTTTGTAAACTCAGCCCTGTGCTCTCCACCCAGGAAGATTTGTTGGATGTCTGTGACCCAGAGACCAGTTACTGATTCATGTTTTTTAATCTTGGTCCTTACTAGCTAACAGAGAGTGTGGTTGGATCAGAAAGACCAAATGTAGAAGTAGTCAATTCTTCCTCTAGAATTAAATCAGCTGCTTCAGCACCATGTCTGGGGCTTCCTCCTGAGGCAACAGATCCACAGCCTCCCTCACTAGGCTTCATGTCCTATCTTTCCTGGTGTGCTGAGGATCACTCTGCTGAAGTATAAAAGAAGACTTTGCTTTCTCACTCCCCACTAGACTGTGAAACCAACCCGCCCAATTATGACCAATTCAAAAGCTTTGTGATGACTGAGGGGAAGAATGAGCGGGGAAGGAAGAAAGGAAAGAAGGAAGGGAGGGAGGGAGAGAGAGAGGGAGGCCCAGACCCTTTCAAAGACTAAGACTTGCACACAGTGTTCTGGAAGGTTCCAGCCATATTACCAGCCTGACCTTCATGGATACTGAGACCCTTCCTCTCTTCCTCAGTCACTTGCTCCTAAGGCTGCCCAAGGAGTCACCTCACACAGTAAAGCTAGGACTGCTTGGGTATGGGAAGCATTTACAGAATGTTTGTTTGTTTCTGAGGCAGCCATGGGGCTCTTGGTCTCTGGTGTCATTGAAGCCACAGAAACTGCACTGCTCTGTGCACAGCCATATCTGGTTCTTTCCCTGTACCCTGCCCTTGAATTTCTCTCCTTCATTAAAGGCAGGATGGCCCATGGGCTCTGCATCCTTTGCTCCCTCACTAATGGCAAATGGTTGTGCTTCCTCTAACACCTGGGGCGAGGCACACCCTCCTGGGCACTAGGAAAGGCCACAGAAATCAGTCAGAGCAGCACATCCTCTAAGACTCTGTCATGACGTGGTGTCCGTCTCCATGGGTGAATCTGCCCTGTGTCCTGCTCCAGGGCTCTTCCCTTCCATAGCGACAGTGGGTAACACAGAACCCAAGTTATGCCCGAGCTTGTCCTCTGTCTGTGCTGACCCAGCTGAGGGTCAGAGGCAGTAGGAAAGAGCTGCAATGCCCAGAGCCTCAGGCTTGGCCACTCATTTGACTCCCCACTCCATTCTGCTCCCCACAGGGGGATCACATTCCTTCAGAGCTCCCTAAGCCTCTCTGAGGGGAAGCTGGACTGACAAGCACTGTCTGAAGTTCTCCCTGCCTGTGTCTCACAACTTGTGTCCCTGTGGTGACAACAGGATCACAGGTGTGTCCCCTTTCATGGTGAGATGCATCAGCCATTGTCATGTTAGGAGACTGTCTTATCTGGAAGAATTGAGTAAAACTGCATTTGCGATGCCTGGGGACAAAAGCCAGCAGGAATTTTACATGTGTGCTTGGGCATCTGCCTATAGTGTCCAATTCCCAGCAGTAAGGGGGAACATAGAATTCTACACTTCCTAATACGATGCACACCCTCTTGGAATTTGCTATCAGGCCGTCTTTATAAGAGAGATGCCTCAGCCCTCCTCTCTGACAAAGTCTGTCCACCCAGCACGGCTCAGAGGGCTCCCACTCAGGGGGTGGCTGATTTCAAACTGACCTCAGGAACCCTCTTTGATTCAGAAGTGACCCTGAAAGTCTTCAAAGTTTGGCCTAAGACCATCTGTTTCTCCTAGAGAAATATTTCTTTCAGGAATTAGACTGAAATCCTGGGTAGCAATGACAATTTTCCCATACAGCAGAAATTTAACATCTAATATTATAAACCTAAACCTGTCAAACACACATGGTCCATTAAGGCCAGATTCTCAATAGGTACACATGGTTCTCATCTTCCTTCTACAGTGGGGCACATTAGAGACCAAGGACAAGAGAGTGACCCAGCTCTCTAAAGTCTGTCTGTCCCCTCCCACTGTCCTAGAACATCCATTGTACCTGTGCTCATGGCAGCCACCAGCGAACACCCCAGCAGCTGCTCTCCCCACATGATGGCCTCAGGGTGCCACTGAGCTGAGTGGCAGGATTGGTGCTGTCCCTGTCGTGTGCGATTTCTGCACACACAATACTGCAACCAGGCTTTGGGTCTTCTCTAGGCTTTGGCACGATGGAGGTCCATCAGGACCTGTCTCTAGCACAGCCTTGCACAACAAAGCCCAGAGGAAATGCCCTGGGCTGAGCATGGAGGTCTCTGCAGCTGCAGGGGCTCAGCACCCACAGGAGCCAAGGCAAGCCAGGGGCTGGCAGCGAGGCCAGAAGAGGGGCCAGGGTCTCACCATGGCCAACTATTATGGCTAATCATGCATGACAAAGCCTGGGTTCTTCCCAGACAAATCTCAGGCTGCCTCTTGCCTGGGTGCTCAAGTCCTCCAGCCTCTGCCTGTGAGACGCACTCCTGTCTGGTCCTGTAAGGACTCAAGTTGGCTGAGAAATGAGAGAGCTCAACTGATGAAAACGCCTTTGCCCAGATCAAAGGAGCCACATGGGGCAATCTTCTCTCTGTTTTCTTCACAGTGGTGTTACCCAAACCTCACATCACAAGCAACAACTCCAGCCCTGTGGAGGGTGAACAATCTGTAGTATTAACATGTGAACCTGAGACTCAGGACACAACCTACCTGTGGTGGACAAACGGTCAGAGCCTTCAAGATGGTGATAGGCTGAAACTATCTAATGACAGCAGGATTCTCACTTTATTCAGTATTACAAAGAATGATACCGGACCCTATGAGTGTGAAACCCGGAATATAGTGAGTGGCAGCCGAAGCGATCCATTCACCCTGAATATTTACTGTAAGTAACTATAGGAAGCCCTTTCTGTTCCTTGTCTCAATCCAAGAAGTTCATATTTGTGATCCCAAATACATGTTATCAGAATCTCACCAAGTTAATTTCAATCTGCCACTCCTTGTGCAACCCATGGCAAAAATAAAGACACTAAAGCATATTTATAATTATGGGGAGCCAAGGGGTCTTAAGTCCACCCACGGTGATGGCTATCCAGAATAAAGGCCTGGACCCTGGGCTGAACCCAGGTTTTATTCAGTCATGAAGAGGGAGTAGCTTGAGGATGAATGACTGAGAATGGCAGGAAGTAGGTGAGTACTATAAACTGAGCTAGGTAGGAGGCCTGCATTTGCCTCTGTCCTATATAGAGAGAAAGACATGCAGAAAAAGTAATTTGCTTTATACTACTGAGATAGTATCTAATGTTTTGGCATCTGGTGCTTCAGCTTTGATGTGTAATCCTTCAAGCCCCAGAAGTCACAGCCTCTATCTCAAGGCTCAATCCCAGCCAACAGCATGGAGCATTGGTTCTTCATCCTGTCTCAACCTGGCTCATATTAAAGAGCAGCAGGTGTGGGTTATCAGGGAAACATGCATGCCATCTTCAAACACTACCACCAGCACCACCGCTAGACTAATATGCATTGCTTAAGGCCAATTAAAAAGATAAAGAGAAGTCCTAGCCAGTTCTGTACCTATCAATACAAGGAAACAGAGTTAGATTCAGCCAAAATGGAGAGGATCCCTCTTCTTTCAAAGGAGAGCTGCTCAGGTGGTCCTCCACAAGTAACCTCTATTCTCCTATGGTCCCAGCTAACCCTCCAACCAGCAGGGTCAGAGAGACCAGCTCACTCAGTCTCTCTCTTAAGTCCAGAAAGCAGGCCCTCACACTTGGACACTTGAGTTGACCATACTATCCTGGCCCTGTCATCCACACAGGCCTGACCTTCAGCCAAGACCAGGAGGGACGGGGCTTCTCCTATCTGTGGAGATTCATTAACCACCTGTGATCAAAAAATGGGGATGACTGAGGCTCAGTGAACAGAGAGTTATGACTGGGACTTTTTTCTGTGTCTGTAGTATGGCGGATGGAACCCAAGACCTTTTGCATCCTAGGCAGGTGCTCTACCACTGAGCTACGCCCTCTAACCTGGTTGGGACTTGCTAAGAACAAGGTTGTACTTGGTGCAGAGGGCTGCTCATCCTTCTCCAAGCTGGAACTTCCCCTTCCCTGTGATGACATCACATATGGCTTTATTCTGTTTACTACACATGGCCCGGATGACCCTATCATACTGCCCCCAGAGACCTATTTCCATCCAGGGACAACCCTCAACCTCTCCTGCCATGCAGCCTCTAACCCAGCTGCACAGTATCACTGGCTTCTCAATGGGAGCCTCCTGCAGTCCCCGCAGGAGCTTCACATCCCTAATGTCTCTGCAAATAATAGTGGATCTTACACCTGCCTCGCTAATAACTCTGCCACTGGCCTCAGCAGGAGCACAGTGAAGACTGTTATAGTCACTGGTAAGTGGACCCTGGACCAGCAGCTCCAAGCTCTTGGGTGGTCCTTTGATAGTCTGGAAATAGTGGGAAAGAAGTGGATTCTCAGCCAGTGTGTGTGTACACAAGGGAATCCCCAGCCTCCCCGAGCGTTGTGCCAGCTCCCTGAGACTGCTCTCCCCTTGCTTTCCTGATTTCTCTTGGCTGAGCTGGAGTTGAGCCTGGAAAGTAGAGAGGAAATTCTCACCCCAGGAAGCTCCATAGAGTAGGTGGAGATTCCATGGGGGAAGGGTCCTTGAGGTCAAATAGCTTCTTTCTGCCATTCATTCCTTCTATCTGTTTTGTTTATCTCCTCCTTGAGCCAGAAGGAGCCCCAAAGGCTTTGATCCATCTTTGTGCTCCTTCTCTCCAAATTAGAGGAGGAAATCCCTCCTGGACAGGCTCCAGCAGCTCCCAGCTGTGCTCCAGCCTGCCCCAGTGCCTGGCTCTGCTCTGGCTCTAGATGGGGTGGGACAGGACAGGTGGAAAGGTGTCTGGGAGGTCTGTCCTCAGTCTGCCAAATCGGATTCCCAGTGGGCAGCTAGCCTCCCCACCCACCGTGCAAGGAAATGAAAAAGCGCAGCTCAGGGCAGATGTCCCTGAGCTGTGTCCTGCTCTGAAGTCCCAGCTGTGTGAGGCCAAGGACACAACCGCAGGTGAGGTTGTGGACACAACCTGCACCATAGAGAGCAGGAAGTGTCACAGCTTGGGGACATGGGGGACTTCACTGTGGAGTCCTTGCAGGAGGAAAGGGCAGGGACCTAAGAGGAGTATTTGTGGAGGTAATGAGGTCAGCCTTTGGATAACGCTGTGACCACTTATCTCTGCTGACTTCCTCCACTGTGGAATTTAATGCATAGGCCAGGAAATAAAAGTCTGTCCAGCTCTGGGATTACAGGCATGTACCACCGCAGCAGGCCTTTTTTGTGGTGCCTACACTTGCTAGGCAGGCACGTATGCCACTGAACTATCCCTTTCAACACCCCCCACCTTGATTACTTTTTTTTTTTTTTTTAATGTATTTGGTACAGAGTCTCACTACGCAGCTCAGACTCCTAATGATCCTCCTGTTTTCAGCCTCCCCAGCGATGGGATTACAGGCATGCACCACCACGCCCTGTCTCCAGGTCTGCCTTAGCACGCCTGGGGGGGTTATCCTACTAAGTTCCCTGTGCTTGCCTAAGCAGGAACTTAGTCCACTGAGCTATCTCACCAGCCTTTTATTACTATTTTTAACTAACATTTTATACATTTTGTGGTGTTTACAATGTGATTTTTGGTATTTGTCTATGATGTAAAATGATGGAATCAAAACAATTTATCTATCACCTCTTTTTTCTCTCATTTGTATGATGAGATATTTGAAATATACTGTCTTAGTACTGTTGAAATATACATTATCATTGATTGAAATTATCCTGTCATGCAATAGATCTCAAAACATATTCCTTTTGTCCATCTCAAACTTTGCACCCTTTGTGTTTGTTTGTTATTTTTTTGGCAAAAACAAGGAATTGAACTCAGACCCTTGTGCTTGCTAGGGAAGCGCTTATTCCACTGAGCCATCTCCCTGTCCCGCTATTTTGCACCCTTTGACCAACTTCCATTCCCCTCATTCCCTACTGCCTGGCCTCTAGCAACCATCACTCTGTTCTTTATTCCTATAAGTTCTTTTTGTTTTGAGATTTCATATATGGGTCGTCGTTATGCTCTTTATTTCTATAAATTCAGTTTTTCTAGATTTCTCATATGATTGAGATCGTGCAGTATTTCCCTGTGCATAGCTTATTTCACTTAATGTAGTGTTCTCCAAATTTACCCATGCTGTCAGAATCACACAATAGCTTTCTTTGTCAAGACTGACCAGTGTTCCATTGTGTACACATACCACATTTTCTTTATCCATTTATCCACTGATGGACACTTAGTTTCGGTATCCTGGCCACTGTGAATAATGCTGCACTTAATGTGGAAGTTTAGTTATCACTCCAGAAGACTGATGAGAATCCTTTGTACGTACATCCAAAAGAGGAATTTCTGAAGCATATGTTGGTAACATCCTTTCACCTACAAAAGCTTTTCATTTTCATGGGGTCCAACATATCTATTTTTCCTAGTGTTGTTTGTTGCCTATGCTTTTGGTATCAGAGCCAAGAAATCTTTACCAAATCCAAAATGATGAAGGTTTCCTGTGTTTGCTTCTAAGAATTTTAAAGGTTTAACATTTACATTTAGTTATTTGACTCATTTGGAGTTAATTTTTGTGTATAAGGTTAAGTAAAGTTTTGGCTTCTTTGATTTGCATGGATATCCAGTTTTCTCAGCATCTTCATTGAAAAGACATTGCTTTTGGCATGGAACAGTTCTGGAGCCCTCATCAAAAGTCATCTGGTGGACCAGGGAGATAACTCAGCTGCTTAAGCACCTGCTTGGCAAGTGGAAGGTCGAGTTTGATCCCTAGTACCACCAAGAAAAAAAAAAATCATCTGGCCACAGGGGTGCAGCTGGATAGAATGAAATAACTTCTAATATTCTGTAGCACAGAAGGATAACTATGTCCAACCGTGCTTAAGTCTATATTTTAGAATAAGTAGCAAAGACAATTCTGAATGTCCTGACACAAACAATAATAAACATTTGAAGTGACAGATCTGCCATTTGCCCTGATCTGATTGTCACATGTTATATATGTATACTAAATGCTATGTTGTACTATGTACACATATGTACTTATATGAAAATTAACATTTTTAAATTTTTAAAGTCATTTGGACATCTATGTGAGCATTCATTTATGGGCTTTTTATTGTTTCACTGATTATATATCTTTATGCCAACAACACATTGTTTTGATGACTGTAGCTTTGTACTACATTTTAATTGCCCTATTTAGTGGGTTCCTCTGTTCTCATTCATGGAGTTCTGATCATTTTGGTCCCTCTCTAGAACATGTTTCAGTAGTCTGTGTAGGAGTGGCTTTGTCATCATGAAATTCTTTAGTTGTTCTTTGTCATGGAAGTATTTCATTTCTCCATCAAACTTGAAAGGGAGTGCAGGGTATAGTAGTCTGGGCTGGAATTTGTTTTCATAGAGGACTTGAAGTACTCTGCTAGATGGTCTTCTTGACTTCATGCTTTGTGAAGAGAAGTCAGCCTTAATTCTGATGGGCTTTCCTTTGAATGTGATCTGCTTCTTTTCTCTAGCAGCTTTCAGCATATTATTCTTGTGCTGGATTTCTGGGATCTTGACTAATATATGTCTGTGTGTTTTTCATTGGGTTGAGGTTACATGGCGTTCTGCATGCTTCAGTTACCTGAATGCCAGATTGTTTCCTCATATTTGGGAAGTTTTCTGCTATTACTTCTGCCCATATTCTTTTTACATCATTTGTATTGACTCCTTCTTTCTCATTGATGCTTATTAGTCTCACATTGTTCATCATGATTTATTTTTTCCTGCATCCTGGTTATTTTTAAGAGATCTTTTCTTACCTTTTCACCAGCTGCACTAGCGCCTTCAAAATCTGAAACACTATCTTCACTTTCACTCAAATGATTTTGCAAGCTTGTGATTGAGATTTTAAGTTCCCCTATATCTCTTGGACTCTGCTTCAGGCGATCTATTTTTTTCCTGTATTGCTCATTCAAGGAATTCATCATTTTTCTAATCTCCTCTATTTTTTTTATCAATGTCTTCTTTAGAAGCAGTTATTAATTCTTTTACTGCAGAATTTTTTTTCAGATCAGGTTTCCTCCATGTGTTTCTGCATTTGATTCTTTACTTCAGATACTATTAATTCAGAGATTTCTTTTTTATTTCCAAGACTATTTCTACTCTGAGTCCCTCTATACCTTTCTGCAGTTGTTTCTTTATTTCAGACGCTATTGATTCAGAGATTTCAGCTGTGTGATTCCCATTTTCTTCTGTGCTAGTGCCCTTTGCACTTGTTATGGATGACCTTGGGGTCTGAGATTGCATTTTGCTCCTTCTTTTTGCCATCTTGTATAGCACTGTGCTCTGACCTTTGTTGTACAGCTTTGGTGCAGTTAAACCTTAGCACCTACTGAAATTTGGGTGCAGATCTACAAAGTTTGAATTTATCCAGTTGTGCCTGGCTTGGGTCCAGCTGCTGTGCTCAGCTCCCTCCTGTTGCAGTCCTTGAGAGTGAACCTGTTGTACCCCTCTGGCAAGATGTTCTGCTCCTGGACTAGCTGGATGGTTCTGTCCCCTACTCTCTCTGCAGGGACTGCAGCTGCAGAGTTTCACTCCAGGCCTGTATGCCAGGTTTGAGCTGGATAAGGGGACGCAGGGAAGAGAGGAAGCACTCCTACCCACACACTCACTAGGCCTGGACTTGGGCTGGATCTGGGGGTCCCGACAGTATGGCAAAAGTTCTCACTCACTTAGTGGGCTTGGTTGGGGGGATCCAGAGTGGTGGAGGGGTCCTGAGGGGGCAGCAGAGGGTCTCACTCATGCGGTGTGCCTGGGCTTGGACTGGACAGGTCCTGTGGGCACAGGGTAGTCTGAAGCTCTCCCACACACTTGCCGGGCCTGGGTTTGGGCTTGATCTTGTACTACATTTTGAAATCAGAAGTGTGAATCCAATTTCATTCTTCATTTTTAAAGTTGTTTTAAGTATTTAGGATCTCTTGAGATTATGTACAAATTTTAGGAATGGATTCTTGTATTTCTGCAAAAGGTGTCCCTGAGTTTTATTTGCTTGTTTGCTTTATTATTGCTGGTTGAAACCAGGGCCTTCACACTGAGCTACATCCCCAGTCACCACCACCACCATTTTTGTACTTATTTAGGGTCTCATTAATTTGCTAAATTCCCTGAGCTTGGCTTAAACTTGAGGTCATCCTGCCTCGGTTTCCCAGAGTGCTGGCTTTATTGGATGCACCATGACAACCAACTGAAAATGTCACTGAGATTTTTTTGCCATAGTTTTATTGATAAATAAATAGCAATGAGACAATTTCAAATCAAATCAGTAGGACAGTTTCAATAATTAACACACTGCATACATTCTTCTTAGTGGTTAATTGCTATACAAGATGCGGACTTGATATCCTATTTACAAACACCATTAGAACAAATCACTCTATTCATTAAGAGAATGTAACTATATATCTATCCTAACCATTTTGAATACAGATACAAAATGAACATTCATCTGTATACCCTTGTTTTGTTAAGTTCCGTTATTTGAATATTATAGGCGTGTAAACTCAGCAAAATATTCTAAAAGAGTCCAGTATCCCATAATAGTATTGGGTCTTCTGCTTAACTGGCAATGTCAGAAATTGTTGACCTGAGTCCCCCACAGCTCAACATAACAGCATGGCTTTATTTCTTATATTTCGCTTTTATACTTTTCTTTGGATGGTTAAGACCAAGGTAAAGCAGGACCTATGCAACCGGAGTTGTAGCTCTTGGGTCTGATAAGGTCAGTGAAATGCCCTCAGGATTTATCCTGAGATCCTGTACCTCAGATTGTAGAACCTTTGTCAGTGTCAGCCATGTGTCACTGAGATTTTGATAGGACTTTAATTGAATCTATAGATCATTTGGAGTAGTACTGTCATCTTAATAATACTGTCTTCTAATACCTACACATGGGCAGGGAATGAGGGCACACAGCTGTGATCCCAGTACTTTGGAGGGTGAGGCAAGAGGAAGCCAGACTGAACTACATAGCTAGACTCTGTTTTAAAAAATAATAATAACTTCTCAGTTATGGCTTCTTTTCCCCCACTATCAGGGATTGAACTCAGGACCTTATGATTGCCAGGTAGGCGCTTATGCCACTGATCTCCCTGGCTCTCAGTTATGTCCTTTTAAATATTTTCAGCAATGTATTATAGTTTTGTTGAGTATAAGTCTTTCACTTCCTTGATGAAACTGATGGGTTTGTAGTATGGAGTCTTGATTCCCAATGTTTAGTACTGAGCTAGATCCCCAATGTTTCTGTTGCTGTTTTCTTGAGATAAACTATTACTGATTTGCTAAATTGTTCGAGGTAAATTTCAATTTATGATCTTCCTTCCCTCATCCTTCCAAAATACTAGGTTTACAGCCATGTACCACCACAGTCAACTTGAAGTTTATTTCTAAGTATTTCATTTTTTGATGCTTCTATAAATGGATTTTTTCTTAATCTTTTATATTGCCTGTGGTTAGCATATAGAAATACAACTGATTTTTGCATTTGATTTTGTTATTCTTCAAAGGCTTAAATTTGCTTATTAACTATAATAGTTTTGTGGGTTCTCTAGGATTTTCTGCCTATAAGTTCTTGTCATTGGAAAATGAAGATAGGTTTATTTCTTTCTAATGTGGATGTCTTTTATTTCTTTTTCTTGTCTTTTTCTGGCTAGGGTGTCTAATACTACATTAAGTGGAAGTGAATATAGGCATCTTTGTATTGTTTCTGATCTTAGAAGAAAAACCTGTAGTCTTTCACTGAGTCTGACATTAGCTGTGGATTTTTTAAAATTTTATTTTATGTATTTGGTACAGGGTCTCACTATGCAGCTTGGACTTGTAGTTACCCTCCTGTCTCAGCCTCCCCCATGCTGGGATTATAGGCGTGCTCCCCCACGCCTAGTTTCAGTGACCCTCTCAGTGCACCCAGGGTTGGGCCAGCATGGCATGCAGTACAGGGGACTAAACCTCAGTTCTTATGTTTGTCTAGGCAGGAACTTAGACCACTGAGCTATCTCCATGGCCCTAGCTGTGGATTTTTTTATATATGATCATTTAGGTTAATTCCATTCCTAGTTGTGTTATTTTATTTTCCAGTATTGGTGACTGAACCCAAAGGATGCTCTAGCACTGAGCTAAATTCCCAGACCTTTTAATTATTTTTAAATTTTTGGACAGAGTCTTGATAAATTGTCACCGTCAGCCTTGACCTTACAATCTTCTTGCTTCAACCTCCATAGTAGTTGAGATTACAGGTATGTACTATTGCCCCTAGCCTAGTTTGACTGGTTTTTATTTTCAAGAAAATAAATTTTATCTGACCACCGGATTTCCTCTACTCTGGACAAAAAGGGCATGTGGACTGTTTGCTACAAATATGGATGAAACTTCTGTTTTTACATATGGTCTGGCTTTTCTCTGTATATTTACATAGAAGGAAGGAAGGAGCAGGGTTATTGAATGATTTCTGAGAATTATTCAAGACCTCATTTGAATTGCTCAATATTTTACTTTTTCACATGTATTAATTCTCAAAATAGTCACTTAAAAAGCTAAAATTTTACTTTATACATATTTATTACAAATATGTATGGGAGGTACAGTTAGTTTAAATAATTACTAGTTAATAGAAAAACTAAATTTTATCAAATGCTTTTACTCAGTCAGATCTATTCACATTTTCTACTTCACAACTCCTTCTGTTTCTAGGAATTTGTCCATTCCATCTAAGTTAACCAATAGTTGGCATAAAATTATTCATTGTACTCTTAAAGTCATTATTCTGAAGAACTGATAATAATATTCTATTTCTTTTCTAATTTTAGTAATTTGAATCTTACTTTCTCTTAGAAGTTAATCTAGATAAAAGTTGTCACTTTTGTTCATCTTTTCTGAAGGACAAACTTCTGCTTTCATTGATTTTTCTCGGCTGCTTTTCTCTATTTTATTTATCATTATCCTAAATTTATTTACTTCCTTCAACTAGCTTTCAATTTAGTTTATTCTTTTTCCATATCCCTAACTCATATTCTAGATTGTTAAATTTCTTTGTCTTTTTTTTTTAATGTGCTTAGTATGGGGTCTCACCACACAGATTGGACTCGGAGTGATCCTCCTGTTTTCAGCCTCCCAAGCGCTGGGATTACAGGCTGTGCACCACCATGCCCAGTATCAATCTTGTCTCAGTGTCACCTAGGGCTGAGGACAGCAGGGCAGGCTCGGGATTGAAACCCAGGGCCTGCATCTCCCTAAACAGGCACTTTAATCCAGTGAGCTATCTGGGCAGCCCTTGTCTTTTTGGACACAGGATTGCCATATGCAGTTTAGGCTGGACTTGAGCTCCCTTTGTATCCTAGGCTGGTCTCAAACCCCTAATGATCCTCCTCTCTCAGCCTCCTGAGTGCTGGGATTCCAGGTGTGTGCCAATACTCCCAGCTTAGATTATTAAATGACATCTTTTTTAAATGTTTGCAATTACAATTTTGAGTATCTTTCATGCAATTCTTAATTTCTTCTAGCCTCAGGTAACTCAACTGAAAATTGTAATAAAGTACCTGCTTCATGGTATTGTTCTAAATATTTAATATGTTAACTATCCTTCAGGAAGAATTCACGGGAGGAAAAAAATGTTACATAAATATTAACTGCTATGACTACTCCTATCACTATTAGCCTTGAAGTCAGGCAGCCAGATTGACCTCTTCTCAGCCATTGGAAGTTAAGTAAGCCTTTTCAGCACTCTAAGCCCAGTCTGTTATCCATAATAGGAAATAAAGCCTGCTTCACGGAGAGGGCCCAGGAGAGCCCTAAACCACAGTTCATATCTAACCTGTGTGCAGGACAAAGAAAAGGAAGCTCTTGACTGCAGCACAGCTGGGTCTCAGACAGTTTGCACCAGGCTGATAGAGAGTTCTCAAGCCAAAGTCTCCCATCAGAGAACTCTGTCCGGCAGAGTTGGGTCTGCTTACGCCCTGCTGACCACTGTGGGAAGTGAGGTCTCTGTGCTAAGGAGGTGGTGAATTCTGGGTGCACTCATCTGAGTGGCTGTCACGAAAGCCCCTCCCATAGGAGAGCTGAGAGGCACGTATTTCCACAGGAGAGCTGAGGGGCACACATCCACAGCCACCACAACCGCAATCCTGTGAAAAATATGGAGCCACAATACTATAGGAAGATACAAATATAAAAATAACAAGAATCCTTTCTCATACTTGTGGAGTCTTCAAACAACTACAGAAAGAACAGGACAGAATTACAAAATAGGACACTAGTGAGAGGGGTAAACGTTACAAATCCTGCCAGTCACCTCACAACATTCTTTCCACAGAAATATACATCTGTTGAAGGAATGAATAGATACTACTTCACATTAATAATTGGGTCTCAAGGCACCCCACTATAAGATAGTTTCAGTTCATTACTTTTTTCTTTCCACGGCAGATGATTCAACACAAGAAAGTGCTAGCCTTTCAACTGGGGCCATTATTGGCATCGTGATTACAGTTGTAGCTGGAGTGGCTCTGATAACCATCCTGGTGTACTGCCTGATTCTCAGGAAGACTGGAAGGTAGGATGTCCTTTCTACTTCTCCCATTTCCTCCAAGGCCATTTGCCATGCTTGGGAGAGGGAACGGACCTTATACCTCTGTCTTGGGGACGGGTGTCCTCTTCACTTTCCTAAACTGCTGCTCGGTGTTAACTCTAGTGGGTCTCCATGCTCCTGTCCTCATCCTACTGTCTCTGGGTCATGGTTGCTGTCATCCCCACGTAGCTCCGAGGAACAGATCCAGTTATGGCCCTCTATCCCCCCAGTCAGGAAGCCAAGGTCCAAGAAGGTGAACAAATGAGGAAATGAAAGGAACAGCAGATGAAAGTAAGTCATCTGCTCTGTTGGCCACAGTGGCAGGAGGAGGGAGGGACAGGAGAGGAAGGGAGATGAAGAGAAAGCAGAGACAACCCGACTCCCCTTGGGCAGTAAATAAAATAAGGGGGAAAAACAAACAAAATCTATGCAAAACAAAGTAGGGGAGACACCAAGGTAAAGTAGGCAGGAAGAGTCAACAGAGACTAACTTGCACAGCTGGGGAGGTAGCTCAGGGCAGAGTGTTTGTCCTGGGTTTGACCCCAGCACCAGGAGAAAACAAGCTATAAATGTGGACATGGCTCCAACAGGAAGGAGTACCCAGTAGAAGGGACTACATCGGCTTGAAGAATGAGGCTTTAAGAGGAAAGGCAGTGCCAGCCTTGAAATGAGTAGACATCAAGGAGTGCTGAGAAATTTTCTGCTGACAGTGTCCTTCCTAACTCAGGGATCAGAGGTCCTGTGCACGGGAATAGCAGTCACAGTGTCTGGTATCTATTTAGGGCAAGCGACCAGCATGACCTCACAGAGCACAAGCTCTCAGTCTCCAACCATAGTAAGTAAAGCCACTTACCCAGTAGAACAGGTATTTCCAACGTGTGCCCTGCCCTCGCAGAGAATCCCACATTCACCAGCTACTGGGATGTCTACTTCCCAGCCCGAAGTTGACACAGGTCCTTAAGCCCTTCCTACTCAAAGAGTCAGACATAGCCTGGAGGGAAGCTCATGCCACCTGAGCTAGGTAGACATGAAAATTTGTTTCTTCATGTTTACTCCTTCCTCTTTACCTCTGTGACGGATATGATAGCCTATTGCTAAGAAACACATATGAGGTGGGGGAACCTAGGCCTTGTGAACTGATAGAAGTTTTCAGGGGTGCACTGAGGCCTCCCATGGTCCCACTCCCTGCCCCTCGTCTGGTTCTAGTGCACTGATCTGGACCACTGAGGAGATCCTGAGGAGAACAAATCCCTTAAGTGATCATGGGGTTCCTGCCTTGTCCCCCCACAACCCCACCTGCCACTTCGTCCCTTAAATCTTGAGGCCTTAAGTGAGCTCTGCATTTCCATAGAGTGCTAACTCTTCTTTTGCTTCCCCAGGTCTGAGCCCTTCCAACAACTCTCCTAACAAGGTAAGCACAGTCAGTTTCATTGGCTCATTTTCTCAAATGGAAACATTCCCAGAGAGAACGGATTGTTTTTGAAGACACAGATGTGAGATCGAGTTTGGGCCTACCTTCCTCAATAGAGCAACAAGGAAGCATTGGCGAATCTCTTGCATGAGTCCACCTCACAGCGAGAAAGTGTACTTTGGAATAGTCCGCATCATGGCTGTGTGTAAATCCTAGCTGTGATGACTAGTAGCTCTGTGGCCCTTAGGACATAACATAAGCTCTTTGCACTTCAGTTTTGTTCAAAAGGATGTTTAAGCAACCACATGAGTTAACATGTAAAGCATCCAACACAGTGCCTCAAACAAGGAAGTCACATCCTCCTCCTCCTTTATCTACCTTCAGTCTGACCCTGCTCTTCCTGTCAAAGGATAGCTTCCATTCTAATGGATCTGGGGCCCTGGTTTCTTTATAACAATTTTATAGAATTTTTTTTCTCATCTCCATCTTTCAGTGAAATAACACATATACTAAAACATGCTTATTCCATAAGTATGCTTTTTAAAAATTTATTTATCTTATTTATTTATTTATGTGTGTGGGTGTGTGTGGCCAGCTCAGCCTACCTGGGGGCGGGGCTGGCTGGCATATGGTGCTGGGGGATTGAACCGCGGTACCTGTGCTTTGCTAAGCTTGTTCTAAGTAGGTGCTTTAGACTACTGAGCCATCTCACCAGCCCCATAAGTATGCTTTTGCAGTATGTGAACTTTCACAAGCTGAATACCCCCATGAAAACAGCACCCATCAAGACACTATATGTCTTCCGCACCAACAAAACTTTCCAGTCACCTTCCTACATCATGTCTGCTATCCTGACAGCACACCCGTTTTCTATCAGTCAGTGTAGTTTTGTGAGGTTCGCCTACGTTGTGTATGTCTGTGATGTGTTCATCCTTACTTCTGTATTATTGTATTCCATGGCCTTACACCATCACCATAGTCTAGCTCTTGGGAGACCTACTCACCATCATAGAAAGCAGAGAATAAGCCCTTTTCAAAGCTCAGTGTTTCAAAGAGGTGGCAGCACAGTGGTGTGGAACCCCACCAGCCATGGTGAGGTGCTGGCCTGTGAGAGTAATTTAACTGATGGGCTCTTGTCCTTTACAAGTGGATGAAATCTATTGTTTCCTGAATTTCAATGCCTCCAAAAGAAAGCAATCAACTTCAGAGTCCCCACACTCTACAGTAACAGAAGTAATTTATTCAGAAATAAAGAAGTAATGTTACCTGCCCTGTCACTGTACTGCCGATGTACTCATCTCTCACCCAGAGGAAAAGGAAAAACCGTCTCCCATGTTCTGTCCTCTCTCTAACACCACCTCAGGCTGCAACACCTTCTCCCTCCAATGTCAGTAAATGAAAACGTACATTGTGGAGTCTGCAGGAGATCCAGCCTCCCTGACACTGGAAGAAGGCAAAGCCAATTTTGTAGGAGAACTGCCAGCTTCCCTGCCCCTTCCCCTTCCCAACCTACTTGTGTTATAAAGTTATTTATTCAGAGCATACTCATTTATTCCCAGCCCAGACCTGTCCTATCAGAATGTGCAACTTGAATATGCCGTTGTTTGAGGGTAATTTCCTCTCCCCTTTAATTACAGGTACCAGGAAAGAAAAGAAAGTAAAATCGATAATGGCTTCTCCTTTCTCTCCAACCCTGATGTGAAGCCTACCATACCCAAGAAAACCAAATATGTAACCAACCAACAGTGCACTGGGAAATCCTACGCTTTTTGTTTGCTGTGTCGGGGTCTAAACATCTTGCTGCTTAGCTAAAATATCATCTAAGCCCTTTGGCAAGCCCATCTCCAGAGAATCCACTAGGAACAATTAGGAAAACAGTGGGCCAAGGGCCACAGGCAATGCCCAGTGGAAAATGCTGAAGTGCACTTACATCTTTAATATCTGCGAGGGCTTTATTCAAGGAACTGCCTGGAGAAGAAGAGACTACAGCTCCTATGGGAGACTCAACATTAAAGAAATGAAATCTTGGGGCTGGTGAGATGGCTCAGTGGTCTAAAGCACCTACTTAGAACAAGCTAAGCTAAGCAAAGCACAGGGACTGCGGTTCAATCCCCCGGCACCACATGCCAGCCAGCCCCGCCCCCTGGTGGGCTGAACTGGCCACACACACTAAATAAATAAATAAATAAATAAATATTAATGAGATTAAAAAAAAAAAAGAAATGAAATCTGCTAGAACTTGGGCAAAGAACAGAATTATCCTTCGTTCATTATTTAAAATTACTGTAAAGAACACACAAAACTGGAGGCACATGGTTTTCTCCTCTTCTGAGACATTCCGCCACTTTGATTTCTGGACCTTCTTGCTTAATTTGTGTAACTTCTGCCCTCTGAAAAGGAGTATTTTTACTTCATGTGTAAGCTGACCTGACTGCCTTGCTACACAGGAAGCCATTAAAAGCCCTCAGGCCCCCCAGCCAGGAGCCTCTCAAGGTTTTGTTGTTGTTGTTGTTGTGTTGTTGTTAAAGGCATCAAATAAAAAATAAGAAACTTCCCTCATTCATTCCAGAA